CAATACTGCTTTAACCCATACAACTTATTTACAACACAACAATAGTCAGTACCACATCAACATCAGTGAGTACAACATCACAAGAAAAGTCCAAACAACTTAGAAAACAACACAGTTTAAATCAGATAAAATGGAAGTATAAACAGCCATCGATTGAAGAGCTAAGATAAGAACTGGTGGTCTCCATCCATGATAGTGTGTGTTGCCAATGGATGTATGTTATGATCATCAAAGAGAATTTAAGTTAGTTAAAGACTTGAGAATAGTTCACGAAGTTGCATCGGTCTGCTTTTGTGAAGAACTTCTCATTTGTTCTTTTAATATACTTGGTGATGGTATCAAGCTTGAGATCTCTGAAAAAGTTCGTTGTGGATGAGAAAGTCAGCATCTGTAATAATGTGTAGAAATTTATTCTGCACCACTTGGAATTGATAGAGCTGATTTGGAGAAGCAGTATTCCAGGCAGGAGATGCATAATAAAGAATTGGATGGATGCACGTTGTGTAACTATGCTTCTTGGTTCTTAGACTAAGGTTAGAAAATTTTCCTATGACTGGAAAGAAATTGCCATAATCCCGAGGGCTTTAGTTTTTACTTCTTTAATAGTGAGTCCAAGTGAGAGTTGGTGTAATGACTCCTAATATTAGCTTTTTTACTAATGGATTGATTCTTGAAAAAGGAAAGTTCTTTACATTGCCAACGCGAAAAGGTTTACAGAGTTTTATATATACCTTTACAGCAGTTTTACAGATCTGTTTAAACAATCACAACAGACACAGAAAACAACCAATCAAAAATAACATAAAGAAATATAAACAAATAAAATAGTATTAAGTTTCAGAATGCATTGGACGTGACAGAAAGCTATAATTCCTTTTAACCAGTAAAAATACAATTACAGATATCTTAACAATGATAAATAAAAAAAGAAGTTAAGCATCCCCCCTCCCCATATTTATTGAGAGCTATTATTAATTAGGTTCCAGTGGCATCTATTTCTAAATGTTGGTGGTGCTATTTCATAGCTTGAAGTTTCACTTGTTTCTTCTATATTATTTTCGTTGCTTAAAATGGTATCTTTTTGTGCTTTCAACAGTTTATTATTGTTACTTTCTAAATCTTCTTTTACTTCAAAAAGCTAAATAATCGTTCAAATTTTCCTTAAATTCCTCAGAGCGTTTTGTTGTGCAAAATTTTCTAGATTTTTTGCCAGTTTTATTTAATCCTTCATTTAAGATTTCTAAAGTAAAGTGTTGTTCTATCTCACAGAAAATTCATAATAAGTTTTCTTTGCCACTTAGATGACTATGGAGGTGCATAAGTTGTTGCTCATATTGGTTCATATATCTCCACGCTTTTTTGGTACATTTTTGAACAAAAATTTTCTTTATTGAAAACCACTTTTTAATCAAGTATAATTTATTATCTATGACTTTTTGCCATTTTTTAGGTAGCTTCATAATTCCATTGGTGTAGAACTTCTGTGGTTTATCGTTGAGAAACTTGGCTAAGTGATTTTCAGTAGTGCTTCGGTCGGCCAATTTTTTACCATCAAGAGTTTTGCAGAGACCGAAACAAATGGTAGTCAGATAAAGCAAGGTCTGGGCTATACGGTGGGTGCATCAAAACTTCCAACCAAGCTCTGTCAATTTGTTCTGAGTCATCAAAGATGTGTGTGGCCGTGCATTGTTGTGATGGAACACAAGTCCCTTCCTGTTGCTCTTTCTGGATTGCTTCGTTCAAACAGTTGAGTTGTGCACAGTACAGAGCCGAATTGATGGTTTCACAGGTTGCAGCAGCTTATAATTGACAATCCTTTTTTAATCCCACCAAACACTTAACATAACCTTATTGGCGACAATCCAGGATTTGAAGTTGTTTGTGGAGGGTCGCTGGCCTTTGACTATGATCACTTGCATTTCTTGTATTTCACCCATTTTTCATTGCCTGCTATGATTCACTTCAAAAATGGTTCGATTTCATTCTGTTTCAGCAGCATTTCGCTGATGGTAATTTGGTCAATCAAATTTCTTTGTGTTAATTCATGTGGCACCCAATCACCGAGCTTCTTTTTGTAGCCTGCCCTTTTCTTATATACTTGGTGATGGTATCAAGCCAAGTAATGATTCCAAACTGTCATGTGGTTGATGTTTAGTCCCTTGGCTATTTCCTAACAGCTTGCAGGCTGGCCTTGCTCCACCAGTTGTAAAATTTCATCAATTTTTTCAGTGACTGGCTGTCCAGAGTGAGGTGCATCTTTGACGAAATTTCCGGAATGGAATTGAGCAAACCATTCCTGGGTCCTTCGTTCACTTACAGCATTCTCACTGTATACTTCACAAATTTTTCGGCTTGTTTATGCAGCATTTTTACCTTTTTTTTAGTAAAAAAGCGTCATATAGCATATTTCTTCAGATATTTCACTCTTTCAAATTCATATAACGTTTTACACAAGGAACGAATTAAAATCTGTCTTCACAAGCTGAATATCCCCTTTTAAGCACATGCTCGTTTGAGACTATCAGGTGAGTACTGCCATATATATAGGCATCAACACCATCTAGTGGCAAAAAAGCGCGGAGACTTTTTATATAATTCAATATTTGTTGCTTATTAGTTCGGCTAATTAATTCAATAACATCTTCATTTATGTCGATGAATCCCTATCAAACTAAGGTGTGAGCAATATTTATTATGCAGTTTGCCTCTGTTGTCATGGAAGTTAAACAATTTCTTCTGTTAATGACTTCAGGCTGTAATTTTCCCCCAACTGACATTCAAAGATTTTAGTTCCTACGGAGATAACGAAATAATTTCAGTGCTGTTTAAAACTGAAAAATCTTTCTTGCAATTCTGTCTATTTAGATTACAATTTATATTTTCTAAAAATGTTCAAATGTTTACCAGTAAAAATGTTTCCTGCATGTGCCAAACAGCTATCTTATACACAGAAGTAAGCAGGTCTTTTTGCTAATAGATCTTTTGTCATGTAACATTTTGGAAACAGTAATCCATGAAATTTATCTTCTTGTGGCAACACAGAGATTATGAGAGATCTGTAAGGCTGTTGCACTCCTGTTATGCTGAACTGGAGACATATTAATCTTTATTAGCCAGCTTAGCTTATTGACAATTTCACCCAGGCTTTCTTTTAATGATCCAATATCCTTAAACTATTTCCTTATCCTGGACATCATTACATTCAAGTTTCTAGCAATCTGTATTCAAAACTGCTCTGTATCCAGCTTTCTGATTGTTCTATATCTCATTTCATCATCTAAGTGTTTTGTGGTTTCTCATTTTAACCGTATGCTGTTGAATTTCACTAACTGTTGTAAAAAAATAATGAAAGCTGTGAAAGAGTGCAAGGAAATGAAGTGCTGAAAATGCAACTTGTGCTTTTAATGATTCTTCCTTTGAATATTCTGCCCACATACATATGTATGCTTGTGTGTTTGATGATAAAGATTTGCATTTTTTTTTTTTTTGTATGAAATCCATAATTTGTACCTTTTTACCACTTTTTGAGAAAATTGTCAAAATATGCCATTCTACTTAATTCTGAATGTATTTTATGAATGGTAAAATAAAATTGATTTCTTTATTAACTGGATACAATGGAAGTATCAAATGTGTTCTAATTTCATAAATAAAATAATTTTCCTTAGGAATATTAATAATGTCGATGTATTTAATTCTATTAATTTAGGCCAAGGTAATGAATTTTATTCTTCTTTTAAATGTAAACTTTGTTGATAGGCATAATATTTTTAAATTATTTTCTCACTTACAGCTCAATTGTGCCCCAATTCTGGGGTAAAACGCATGGTTTCTGAAAGTGGCGATCTCATCCCTCTAAAAAGGGAACGTTTCACTTTCAAGGCTGCTCACCTTGCCGTGCTGGAACGCTATTATGAGAAGGATCCGTATCCAGACTCGCAGACTAGGGAACAGATAGTAGACGAGTGCAATAAAGCTGTGGAGAGAGCAGGTATCATTCTAATATATGTTTATCTAGAGCAAGTCTGCTCAATTGTTTTTCCTATCAGGCGCTGTCAGGATATACTGAAAAAATATAAAATTTTTATAATTTTTATAAATTATTAGCTTACAAATAATGACTCAAAGCATGCTGCAGTTAATAGATTAGTCGCCCTCAGTTTAAATCATTTAACAGTATTTATACAAATGATGTTCAGTTTATTAGTATTCATAAGGCATATTCGAAACTGTCTGTTATGTATGTTTTGAAAGTGGTAATGTGCTGCTTACAAAGTAATGAAAAAAAAAAATTATGTTGCAAGACTCTGCATTTTTCAAAGACTAATGCCAAGTATTTTTAATTTAGTATAAATGACCGGTAATTTGATATACCATAGGTACTGCTTAGAATAAGGTGCATTTGATGATCATAAATTCTTTATAGATTGCCAAAAGTAAGGTATTTTCCACCAAGATTTTACTTTGAATACATTTTTACAAGATTTTTTTTTTTGTTTGGAATTTTGATAAGATTCGCAAGTATTGGTGCATCTCTGTGTTAATGCTGTTATTGCATTCAGTTTTGTTTTTGGTTTTGTTATACGACTCATTTTATTTCAATTTGGCAGTAGTTCTGTTTTGAATTAAAATATGTAAGTTTCCTATCTGCCAGGACTTCTTTTGACACACTGTTTATTCTGTGAATAAATCTATGTGCAGTGATGAATGAAATCATCTAAAATGTTAAGAATATTTTTATACTTCCCTTAACAGTTGAGTAGAAGTCAGTAAATTCATCAGTATTCCAATAGCTTTTATATAATTTTCTACATCAAAAAGAAAAAAAAAAAAAAAATGCTCATCATTTATTTCATAAGGATTGAGCAATAAGCTAAGAGCACAAAATATGAAGTTTTCAGAGACAGATTGCATTTCATGGCCTTTTGTGACTTCAATAAATCATTCGCTGTGCTTTAACAGTTATCTTTCAAATACTTCCTCATGAAATTCTTTGCAAATGTTATTATGCAACTCTTCTGCAGGATTTACAAATTGTATATTTGATACAAAAATGATATTCTAACTTTTGGCATCCCAGCCCCCCAAAGATCTACTTAAGGCAACCTGAACCTGTAAGCATAACTATTTTGAGAGTTCCCAATACCTACTTGCCTAGTTTCTGATGAGGGAAAAAAGGATTATCAGAATTAGAACAATTTTTAGTTTTGATTTTAACATTACTCATGTTAAAAAATTTGTTCTTCAGATATGCAAATCTCATCTGTTGTTCTTACAAAGGTCTTGTTATCCAAATGAAGGGACTTTTATACCATTTTTAGGATCCATTAGTGATGATCCATGGAATTAGTGATAGGAAGTGCAAGGAGATAACTCCTTGGATAAGAATCATTAATTTTTAGTCATGATAAATATTTTTTGTGTGTTTTTAGTACTCAAACACCTTCTCTTGGGAAATTTTCAATTTTTGTAAAATTCTTTCAGAAAGACTCTATGAACTGTTACTGGTGAACAGTTTATCTATTCTTTTTCTCCTCCTTTTTAAAATCAAGATGGTATTCTTATTATTACAGTTAATGGGAAGTTAGAGTGGAGTATAAAAGCCAGAATTTAAGTATGAAAAGAGCCTACACATTAAAATATTTAATTTTGAATCACACAATACCTAATGCATTTTAAACTTCAATATATTAACACATTTTAGGATGCAGATATGCATAATCAAATTATGACAGAAAGTAGTATTAAAAAAACTGTGGGTGATGGCAAAATGTGAAAAAATATCTGAAATTAGCCTGCACGAGTACATAGAAAGAAAGCCTTCTTTATTACATGACTGATTCTTTTTTTTACCAGTCTAACAATCTCTAAGCTTTAATTAAACAATTCTGTGTAGGATTCAGTTCACTTTATTTTGACAATATCGAATAATGCAAGGGTAGCAATTTTTTGTATCCGATCATATTAGAAAACAAATAAAGGAGCAGCACACAGGCCAGATTTTGTTAAATGTAGAGGCATTGTGAAGCAAAGGTGTTTCCTCTGTGTAAATGAAAAAAAGAGTTTTTTTTCGTTTACACAGAGGAAACACATTTTTATGATTCCCAACGCATAATTCTTTTGCATAGAAAAAGATTATTCTGTTCTAAGGGATAATATGTTTCTAATTAAAATGATTAAATGAGTTAAAATGTTTATTTAGTCTATTCATTACTAACACCACTTTATATGTATAAAAATGTCCTTTTAAAGTCCCCGTTTTAAGTTTTAAAAAATTGAAAACATTATAACATTTTTTGCGAATTTAATGTGAGATATTTCTCATGTATAAAGAAATAAAGTTTCAAAATCATTTTCAAAAAATAAAGTAATTTGGGACATAAAGAGTTAAAACTAGTGCCAATCAATCTGGTGATCAAAAATCCCTAAAAATAAAATATAGTCAAAATTGTCACCTTCTTTTCTTTACTAACTGAATGTCATGTAAATTCACTTAAATATGAATCTAAGTGGTATTTGCTTTTCTGCAGTATCTTTTATTGTGCCATTTTGATGAACTTCACAGTCTTTTAATGCTTTGCCACAGTCTTTTAATGCTTTGAGTATGTGCATCAGTGTAAACAGTCCTTCAACTTTGAAAGTACTCTATTCCTTGCTGTTCTGTAGAAAGCAGATCCCAAATTTTTAAAATGAAAGAGAAAAACAGGAAAATAGCAATTATATAATTGCTTTACAAAAACTAATAAAAACAAAGCAAAGTTCATATGACTGTTTTTGATGTCTTACTTATCCATTTTTGATAATAAATTGCAGTGATTGGCAACATTGTCAAAAACAGTTGACGGTAAGATATATAAAGTACTCTATATTTTCTCATTATGTGACTTTTTTGGATATTATTTTGCTACTGTAGTTCATTTATAACAGTTTGCAGTTTTTATACTAATGAATCTTAGTTCGCATTTCAGATCGTCCTTTGGCGGAAAGGGAAAGAGTGACATTGCCTGTTGTGAATAATTGGTTCAATAACAGGAGAAAAGAAGCAAAGAAGCAGCTTAGACAGCAGCATGGTAAGTATATCAAATGTCGTGAATTCTCAATAACTTTATGACAAAGTAGCTGTTATTTAAAATAAATATTTAATATTTTCATTTAAAGATTTTTCGAGAAATATTATGACTTTGTTTATTTTTTTTTTATCCTGGCTATGAGTTTCCTGTTATAAAGTTTTCCTGTTATAAAGTAAGGTGCACATATTTTCAGTACTGTGGGTGGAAAGGCCTTGTAATGTAGCACCTTAATTTTTTTGTAGAATTCTTGTGTAGTAAAAATTCAAAGTAATAAATTATTAATTACATTTTAATAAACTGAAAATAAAAAGTTCTGTAATATGTGCAAAAATTTCATAGATATTCAAGAATGAATTTACTCAGATCACTTTTCTGTGCCTATTACAAACCAAAATTCAAGATTTTTATGCCAAATTTTTAGTAGCAAGTTTAGTTATTAATGATTCCATAAGGGATAAAGCAACACTCTTAAAATTTCTAACTAGTCTCATGATGGTATTAATTACATATATCTTTGGAAATGCACATAAGAAAGATGCGAAACTTTTTTTTTTGGGGGGGGGTTAAACTTTTAAAAGTATACAGAATATCTTTCTAATTGGAACTTTTGCTTTGTGTGAACTTTATAAGAAATAGGGTATTATGGTTTGTACGAATTTGTTTGGCATCAGTGCTGAAACTGTTTTCATAAAATTCTGCACCTTATTTTTAAAAAATCCAAAGTACATATCCTAAATCAGTATTCAAGGAAAATGTATAAACTGCTGATAAAATTTCTCATAAAATGTTTTCTCTAGATGGTGCAAAAGTATTATTCTATACTGATGTCTTGTAATATATGATATTAGAAATATTTTGATTGCATTCACAGTGCAATCAAAATAAAATTCATAAAAGTTAACTTTTAAATATTGGTCATCTTCGAATGTTCTGGGGTTTTTCAAATCAAAATGTGTTTTTTTTTTTTTTTTTTTTTCCTAATTATTTTATTTACTTCTGATATGGAATGACCAAGATCAAATTGGATTTTTAACCCTCTCACCGTTACGACCGGAAAATTCCGTACAGAAGGTTGCCTTCCACATTCATTATACATGAAAATTTCTGCTAGCTTTTAATGTATCGGATTTCAGTTTGGATGTATATTGGAAGAAAAGGAATCAAGGTACAAAATGAAAGAGTCATTTTTTAATTAAAATCAAGAAAATATAACTTATTCGTGACATTTTGAGGAACTTTGAAATTTCAGAGCTAAAACCGTAACGCTCAGAGCGTTAAATACACTCTCGGCACTTATTGCTGGTTTTACATTCTAGCATGTGTTAGGATCTTTTATTTTAAAGGTGGAAAAAATATAATCAGATTACTTTAAAATCTGTGATATATATGGAAAAAGTCTTGTCTTTGATGACACAGCTTGAAGGTAGTTTGAGAAATTTATGTGTGGAAGTTTGAGCCTCAAAGATGCTAGCTCTGTACAAACATTCTATGTAAACAAAAAAATCCAAGTTATTCAGTTCAGGAAGCATCATAGCGAATAAATATTTCAGAGAATACAGTACATGATCATTTGAAGAAGACTGGGTGTTTAAACTACTTTGTGTAGGTACCCCCTATTTTAACAGAGCAGAATATGCTTACTTGAGTTTTGGCATGTGATTCTTCACTGAAAAAATGAAGAAGCTCTTTTTTTTTTTTTTTTTTTATTTGTTCATTACTGCCAATGAAAAGTGGATACTATACAGTAATATTCTAAGAAAAATACCATGAAATAAACCAAAACAAGCTCTTCTAGTAACATCAAAAAAGGGTAACATTCCATAAAAATAAATCTATGTGTATGAAGGGACTATGGAGAAATTATATACTGTGAATTGGTGCCACAAAATCACACATTGTTTGGAAAAATACTGTTCCCCAATGCCAGTTTTAAGGGCAGAAATCAAAGTGCTCGAAGCTGACCAGTGGTCTAGGTATTGTCTTCCATCATGATAACCTACATTTCGATGAATGTTAAAGACTTATCACCCTCTATATTCCTTAGACCTTGCCCTCTAATCTTCATCTCTTTAGATCACTTCAAAATTCTCTGAATGACATGGAGTTCACTTGTTTGAGAGTGTCAAGCAGCAATTCAGTAACTTTATGAATAAACCCACTGACCTTTTAAGAAACCTAGAGAAATGACAAAAAGTTGATTGAATAAAATGATGCTTAATGTGATTCAATGAAGTTTCTTATACACTTCGCAACATTGAAAATACACCACCAAGAAGTAATGGCCAGAAAGTGATGAAACTCGGCAGACAAATAGAGACAGCAACGAACAAGTGATCTTTATTTCAAAATGATATATGCATAATACAGATTCAGAATAGCATCAGCTCAGTAGGTTGTAGGACCACCTTAGATGGTGGTACATGAAGCAATACATCTAGGTCTATGGGTGGTATCCTGAGGAATGGCTCTCCATTCCATATCAACCATTTGCTACAGTTCGTCTTCTGAATGCGGCACTGGTAGGGTCTGCAAATGGTGTCTCACATCCTAAATGTGTTCGATTGGTGAGAGATCAGGAGAGAACAGTGGCCAGGGAAGCATCTGTACACTTGGCTGATGTGAGCAGTGTGTGATTGGACATTATCCTGCTAATAAAGGGCACTGAGCTCGCCCTGAAGGTAAGAAAGTGTCACCTGCAACACTTCATTGGGCTGTCACAGTGCTCTGAATATGATCTATATGTGACCCAAAATCATACACAGTTGTGTCCCAAACCATGTTGTCACGCTATCGTGCAGTGGGAAGTTTCACAATTACTGCCGAATTGGACCTGTCTCCACCTCAATGTCACATTCGTATGCAGTGACTGTCAGTGGAGAAATAGATGTATAACTCATTTAGGAACACGACCCTGTGCCATTCCATCGTCCACATTGTTTGAGCCCGGCACCATTGCAGGCGTTGGTGTCTATGATGTGGGGTCAATGGAAGTCTTCTTAACAGATGCCATGAGTGCAGGCCAGTAGCCACCAATCGATGGCAAATGGCTCTGGTTGGTATGGGAATATCCAAGGTGTCTTGAACATACTGCAGAATGGAGGTAGAAGAGGTTTGCGGATGCATCAATAAACACGTGCTGACATCACTCTGGCTGCACCGGTACACCTCGAACTTGCCACACTTCTTTGTTTCAACCATCATTGCCATAGAGAGTGCACTGTGGATGCGTCCAAGTGTGTGTCAACTGAGATTTTGCCATATGGATCTACCCACCCTTCTCTACCATGCTGCTCGTAAAATTGTCTGTCTGCTGGAACTGCCTTTGTTGATGACAGCCTTGCATCCTCTGAGATGAACAAATTTTCTATGATCATTTCCCTAGCAGAAATAATGGCACGAAAATTTTAACATTCTGCAGGTTCCTTTCCTTATATCTTCCTCAATGTGTGCTGGAGAGCTGTGCATTTCACATCATTCGCATAACTTAATGATGTGTATCTACCCTGAAATTTGCATAATTTTCATGTCTTTCCTTCTTGGTATTGCATTTTCAGTGTTGAGTAGTGTAGTTTTGTGCTCCTTCACTTAAATTTATCTTGAGAAAAACACAGAATTTTTCAAATGTCACAATATTCAGATCTGTTATAAATCTCATCATTTCGATATATAATTGAAAACAAACTAAACCTGTAAATTATTGAAACTATATATTTTGCTTTTAAATAAGTTTTTTAAGCAAGATAAATGGTAGGTTTTTTATAGAATGTCAAATAGTAATACGTCTGAGAGCTGTCAATTGTCGTTCCGTATGGGTGATTATTACAGTAGTGAAAAATTGCATTGGCCAAAAAAGGAGGGGTTTAAACTATAAAAAGTTTTTGGGGGTAACATCAATAAAGCTTGTTAACCATGTTTTTCAGACATCTTGTATGTTGTTTACTATTTTGTACAAAGGGTTTTGAGTAAATCTTTTATAACTAATAAAATCTTTGTGTGTTCAATTGTAACATCATCTCGTCCAGAACGGTGGGGAGTCGAGTATTGAGAGTGGTATCCTCGGATTCCAAAAATTCATGGGAAGCCATTTAGACCATTTCATCTTCGTACAACTTTAATCAGCCAAGATTGTAACTAAAAGCTCTGAAAACACTAATTTTTGAACCCTGCTATTGTCTTTTTTTTACTGAACTTCATTGCTGTTCGGTGTGCTGGGTCAAACCATGTTTGCCTCAGTCTTTTCTAAACGGAGTAAAGTTTTTTATGGAATAGAACTAGTAAATTTTGGTTTGTCTTCAGCCCACTCATCTGATGAGCTTGATGTAAGAAAACTTTTTTTCAAAAGTGATGAATTCTTTCATAATGTTTTATTATGTATTATAGAATTTCATGTTTTTTAAGAAATAAGCCTCTAAAATTTGCCTTTATCACTGTGTTAATATGTGTCTAAATGATTTTCCCAGTGATTAGGAAGAATAAATGCTGTAGAATGAAATTAATTTTAGATATATTTGATAAATTCATGTAATGTGTAAACATTATTTTCTATTTTGTTACAATTAGTAAAAACAAAGTTTTGTCTAATAACTAATCCGTTATTATTAAAATATTCATAACTTGAAATCAAGTGGTAAAACAAAATATAAAAACGTAACTGTTCTATTATTTCGTTTTGGTGATAAGGGTTATTTATTTTATCATTAATATTGTTACATCTGTACAGGTTTGTAATCGATTGAATGTACACAGAACTGATGATTGCTTGATAAAATTGGTTCTCCCAAAAGAAACACTTTACAGTTCTGGAACTTTTCACAAAAGTACTCGTACAGCTCTTCTCAGTATGACAGAGCATAGTCAGTAGTTACCACTTCAAACTACTTAAGAACAATAAACATGACAATATAAAAAGCTTCAAATGCATAAGCTCACAGAGGGATCTCTCAATATTGTAACTAATGTGCTCACCCGTCTTATGAAGTTTTTTTCCTGCTGATAAATTTTTAGTGCTATTGAGTTCTCAAAATTGCTGGAAGACATACATAGTACAGTTACATAGGGCCAGGTAAAGTTAAACTACGAGGGGATCGAACTAAATGGTTACATATAAGGTTATATGTAATGGCCAGATGTGGTTACAGTTACAGTTAAACAGGGACTGGACCAAATGGTCACCAAGTTTGGTGACAAAAATTAGTAGTCAAAATCATGCCAGCTTGGTGCTATCTTGGTAATTTGGCAATTTACCTCAATATCTAAATAGATTTATCCTGTAACCCTGTTTTTCCAGCAATGCTTTACACTCTTGAGGTTGTGTTGCATTTTACAAGAGATGCTACAATTTAGATTTCACTAAAATTATTTAGATATATACAAAAATTGTAACAATATATGTTTCATTCCTTATGAATTTCTTTCTTCTCAGTAGTAACTTTTAAAAGTTTGCATTTATTGGTGTATATATGATTTTAATTTTATTAGTTGTCGGACAATTAAGAAATATTTTATGTTGGCTATATTGATGAATTTATTATTAAAAGATTGAGGATAGATGTTAGAGTGTAGAAACAATAATTTTCAAAATTCAAATTGTGTTTGGCATAAAGCTCAAAAGTCAGTTTTCAGTTGTTTTAATAATAGTTATAGAGTGAATTTTGTAAATTATGTTAAAATTGAAGAAAACTTGCAACTTATGTTGCATGTGAGGGCAGGAAGAATTTTTATGGATTTCTTGCTTAAATTAGTTTGCTTTCAGTTTTATTTATGCATTGATTTAGCTTCTAAAGTATAGTCTTTCAATATTCAAAATTTATATTAGCAAATTATTAAATTTTATTTGAGAATTTTGCTGATTATTATGGCATATGCTTTATTTTTTCAGACTGTTGACTTTCATATTCAGTAAATCGTTTTTCTTTCTGCATGCATTTATATATCTATAAAACTTTTAAGAGAAAACTCTTAACAAAATGAATGTAAATTTCATAATACAGTGTGTACCCCAAAATAGCAAATGTATTCATTCTAGCTCTAGAACTGCTTTGTCAGAATGCACACAATTAGAATTAAGTTAGAATTAATTTATCAGAAGTTTGTTTGCAGTATTACGAGGGCTATCCAGAAAGTAGATTACGTTTTGGAATAAAAAAATAAACAAAGTATAGGAAACAAATTTTATTATATACAGATGAAAGCCACACTCAAATACTACTTTTCTACATAGTCACCATACAAATTAAGGCATTTATCGTAGCGATGTACGAGCTTGGAAATTCCTTCGTCGAAAAATTCGGCCGCCTGCGCCTTCAACCACTTCGTTACCTCATCTTGCACAAAACTTGTGGTAACCAAGCTTTTCGCTGATGATTTCGTGCAACAAACTTCGCGAAATTGTGGAAACTCAAAGAAAGTTCCGTTATGTGAAATTTCGATTTTCACGACTTAGCATCGACTTTTTCGAGAAGTTCGGCGGTCACTATGCTGGGTCTCCCACTTCGATCTTCGTCGTGAACATTGGTTCGGCATTTTGAAATCTTATGACCCACTGATGCACTCCACCTTCAGTGATAATGTGTCCCCATACACTTCACGAAGCTGCCGATAGATTTCTATCGGTTTACAGTTTTTGCAGTCAGAAACCTTATTCTGAGCGCAGCTCTCGGTATTTTCAATTACGCAGACATTTCAAACCGTCACAGTATCGAACGGAGCACAGCACGAACCTCTCACTAGCACGGCTAGATGCAGACTGAGCTGCGCAACGCTCTGACCACAAGATGGCCGCGCTAGCCCCGCCCCTAGCGGACACAGACGGAAACGTAATCTACTTCCTGGATGGCCCTCGTAGATATGCAGAAACAAACTGTGGCCAAATTAAAGGTTTGTTATTATTATGGAATACATCTCTTGATGCAGAACTGAGATATGTAGGAACACTTCTTGTTCCAACTGGAAAATGCATTTTTTTATAATACACAAGGTAGATGAGTGTTGTATGCCTAAGGAAAGTGTTATCTTTATCAAAAAAAAAAAAAAAAAAAAAGTTTTGGAGAAAATAGACTCATATTTATGTTACATATGAAAAAAGTCATGCAACCAGTCTATTTGCCAGGATTCAAATGTGAATCAAATTCTCTATTCAGCAGTTCACTTATTCACTTGGCCACTGATGAGTAATTTTTGTAGAATAAAGAAATCAGTGTCTTATCTGCTCTTTAAACATTAGCTTACAAAAGGGAAGTATAATTAATGCCTTCATGATGTATTCAGTTAATCAAGTAATTTTATGTTTTTTCCCCCCTTCAGCTGCGGCAATGGCAGCCGTGTCAGTGAGTATGTCGCCTTTAGGTCAGTCTCCTCATGGCCTTCCTCCAGTTGCCTCAATGCCTGCTCTTGGGTGGCATCAGTCACCCACGTCAGCCGCCCTCGGAGGGATCCCCAGTTATGCCGGATCCCACCAACCTGCCTTTCACCCAAATGCTCAGCTTGATCTCAGTAGTGAAGCCATGGACAGCGATAGTTCTCATGACTCCAATGCTGATTATGGCAATGGAGAGGCATTGCCAGTTGATTTAGAAGGTGAAAAAACAACCAGCATCAAACAAGAGGTGTGATGACAAGATTTCACTTTTGGGTGAGGTGGGACTTGTCCCTGTGAACATCGGCATACTTGGTCTGCTATTTTAAAAGTAATCAGTCATTCTTACCCGATGATATCTATTTTAAAAATCATACTTAATTTAAAAAGAAAAGAAAAGAAAGAAAATTTACTATGACTGATTATACTAAAATGATTGCATCTAATGTTTTTCAATGTATTAACTATGTGGTTTGATGAAAGCTGTATATTTACTATTAGAATATTTATGGTTTCCCTATAGTACAAAAATATTAGTTATCACACAATAGATTTTTTGCAAAATGGCAGATGATTTGTCTCAAAGGGACTTAGCCTGGGACCACCTATCAACTGGTCAGCTTACTACCACTAAGAATAATAAGGAGCTTTTTAAAGAGTGTGGTAGATTTTTTTTGGGGGGGTAAGAAAATAAACATACAAAGTCTTTTTAAGTTTTTCAAATTATATGTTTTGTTAACTTGTTTCTGTATTTTCTCAGGATTAGATTGATTTTTATGTATATATTATATGAAAAAGTGCAAAAGAAAGTTTGTAGATGGAAACTTTTTTATTTATATTTTATTAATTCCTCATGAAATGACACATGCATCATTCTGTATAAAGCTCATGCATTTAATTTCTTTTTTGTCTTTTTATGAACAAATTTGTGGCTCTTTGTGTCTGCAAAAAATTGAAAATTTGCAATGCATTTTATTAATCAAATACACATTAATCATTTCAGGAAGTATTAGAAATGATTATGAATTCATGTTCTGTTGTTTTTTATTTTAAATTTTCTTCTTGTTCTAGGAATATTGTGCAACTTCTTTACATTTTTGAAATAACAGTTTAAAAAATTATTTACAGTCTGTTATATATTTTTATTTCTGTATTTGTTAATAGATCAAAAATTTTGAATTGTAGTATTCATAATAAATTATACATGTACAAATTATATGCAAGCTATGATTAGCTTGATGTATTGTTTATATGCCTTTCATCTGTTATCTTTCATAATGTGGTTGAGGCAATCAGGAGTCAGTTATTTAGCTTACTTTATTGTTTTGTTTGTTCTTGTTTTGTATAGCTAAGTCTATTTTGTAGAAAGTTTTATCTGAGTACCTATATATTGTTTTAGAATTTAGAATATTTGTCTACCACACTCTTTAGTGCCCTTTTCACTGGATAAAGAAAAAGACTGTTTTGAATTCTTGCCAAGCAAGAATTTTATGTAAGTTAACATATATGGCTTGGCCACAAACTTAGTATTGTGTTGTAAGTGTTTGTCTGTAAGAAAGCATTTAGATTTTGTCATTGTGATAGATTTCCCTAAGGTAGTCAATGTAACAATTTTTAGTCCTTGAGAGGTAAAAACTACATCAAGGAGTGTGCTGTGCATTACGATATAATGATTTTGATGGGCAGTTTTGTAAATAGTGAGTATTTGTTTAAAGGAGTATGATAAATTGCAATAAATAGGAAGATGGGTACTGATATGATACTTCTAAAAAAAGTTCATTTATTAAGATATATGGCAAAATATACCGTGTAACTTATAATTCATTTTACTGGTGTATAATTCCTAACCATGTAAGAAATATTGTATATTGTAAGTTTAATATTAAGCAAGCAAAAAGTTCAAATTATTAATGTGTTACTAATGATATCTTTCTAGTTGCAACTATGAAAGAAATTTGGGGGGTGGGGAAATGTCTTACTAAATATCTTCTAATAAATGAACTTTTATTTCATAATGTAATGTGCATGTGTAAGATTCTGTTAGAAAGTAATTGAATGATACTGGCTTTTCCAATATTGAGCATTTATTTTCAATGAAATATCCAAAATTACGTCTTGAATCATTGTTGGAATGGTTTCAAAATGTAAACTTACTACATATTTGATTGTATGCCGATAATCCAGTGGAGTTTTTCTTTTATGAGTTTGAGTGCTGGTAACTGCCAGTGGTACAAGAAAAATGCACAATTTTATTATGACACTAAAACTCAGGTTTGATAAAATGTTAGTGTACATTGTTTATGTACTTTTAGAATCATATGATTTTAAGGACAAAACATGTTTTGTATAATTTACCTCATCATGAATACTACTAGTTTGTCATTAAAAAACAGTACCTGCACTGAATGTCAATAACAATTTATGTAACCCAGTGTATATGTTCATATCTTATATTTCTGGGTTTATTTTTGTGTTCAGAAATAACCAAGTGCTCTGGACAACATTGGGAGTGTAAATGATGCTCATTATCATATCATTTAAACTTTTAAAATGTTGATTCTCCCCTTATTTGTAAGGTCACCTTTTAAAGTGGTATTATTGCATTTTATGTTCTTGTATGTATTCTTTTTTTTTTTTTTTTTATTAAACATTGAAGGATTTTAGAACTAATAATCTACATCATATCTGTTTGTCATATTCAAATTCTTGTATAAGTTTAAATTGAGAGATGCATATAAAGTATTGTTCTCAACATTCATATTCTCAGCTTTAGAGCTTGGATTTTTAAATTGTAGTTTTTAACCAACATTACATATTTGTGGCAGAGAAACAAATATGCATATAGGAGGAAATATGTGGAGTATTTTACTTCTTTAAATTATATATATTCAGCTTATAAGCAGCATATATAAGAAGTTTCTTTAGTGGTTTTGTTGCATGCTATATTAATTATCCATTTGAATATGTGATTAGTGTATCATATCTGAAGAATTTTAAAAAAAGTGGGAAAATATTTTTTCTTTAAAAATATTCTTATTTTTCAAAACTTTTGATGAGATATTCAAAAGTTTGTAAGTCACAAATATAGCGAATCTTTGCCCATTGATGACAGCAGTTAAGATACAGTTTATAATATGTATATATATAATAAAAGTAGCATATTAAATTTTTACACTCTCAAGGAGTTTTTTTTTTTTACTAACCACCAAAGTGTGCCTGATGTTTATCAGTTTAATATTATTAAATAAAGAGCATATATTTATTAAAAATTGGTATAATAATTGGAATTATGAATTTAAAGAGCAGAAATTTAAACTAAAATTTACAAATTAAGAATTTGAAATCTTAATTTATCTAGGAAATAAAAAAAAAAATCATCTAAAAGAATTACCCTAATTAAATGCATTGCGTATAAAATAAATTTTTAGAAGGAGGGTTTATTTTTCTTTTTAAGTTATTTGAAGGCTTTAATTTCCATGTTAGCAACAAAGATTATTTTTTAGTTTCTCTAAGTATGTATAAGCAAAGGGTGTCCCCCCCCCTGAATTCTGTGACATCAATTTTTGTAATTTCTTTTATGTTAATTTGAATCAGCATACCAGAATTACCTAATTTGTATAATATAGCATATTGATTATGAATACAAGTAGTAGATCATTTGATAGGTACTTGTCTGAAAGATACCCATTAGTGTAGATAAAATAACATTATGTATATAGTATTATATGCTGTATTATCGATTACTTTTAACGTAAACTAGTAATGAAATGAAAGCAATGGTTTAATAGTTTATTCTAATTTAAAGAAGGGGGGGACTGCTTTTATCTGTGTTGAAATTCATTTAACTCTTCCATTTACATTTATTGCCAAAAGGTTAAGTTTGCCAGTTATTATAACATGATGTTTCAATTAAATTCCCCCCCCCTTATTTTTAACTACAAATTATAAAATACTTCACTTAAATATTTCTTTTACTTCTTAAGTAAGTTCTCTTCTTCTGCAAATATTATTGACAAACTCCAAATTATGCCTTATGGTATTACAGAGTTCCACAAAAATTCATTTTACATGTGAATGAGTTGGAATATTTGTGAAGCAATTAAAGTGTAATTAAAAGTTTAGTGAATCCATGAGCACTATTGGTTATTTCTCAACTTCCTTGTGCCTCGCAGGATAAACTTTGGGTAATTATTTTAATACTTCATTTATTATTGCTTTTTTACTGTTATGTGTGTACTTTAATGAAGTTACGTGACCTATTTTTTATGGTTCCAAATCCCTAAAAGTATTCAGGTTTTGCTGCTTTCAATAAACAGGTATTTATGTGTATCAAAGCTTAATTTTTTATCATGTAATATTTATTCAGTTTGAAATGTTATTTCTGACGCTTTTTTAGTTTTCAACATTTACAGGATGCTTTACAATTTTCAACATTGTATAGGAACAAATATTACAATAGGGTTAATGTTTCATAAAAGCCATTATGACCAGCATTTGAGGGAATCATATCACAGCCAAAAGTTGTGCCAAAGGATAACCAGGGTTTCATGTAATTGTTTTATGTGCCATTCATCATATTTTGCATTTTGCTTTGGTAAGCTTTGCAAGATCTTTTGTCCTATTATGAAAATAGTAAGGCATAAACTCAGGAATATTTTCATTACCTTATTTAGAAGAAGAGGTGTTTATTTTGTTGTGTTGGTTGGTATCGATCCTTTAATGGCGGGTTTTGGCAAAATTATGATGATCTCATGTATTGGTCATATGTAGTTATTGAGCATACACATTTTCTTATGTGAATGCATATTTTCATGTATTTGAATATATTGTCATGGAGCATAATATTCTTTGAATCCTCTTCCCTATCCCAAAACTTTGAGGAATTCCACTCTTCTCACGAGAAGAGTTTTTAAATTCTTACTACTTAAATTTTTTTAAGTAAATGCTGATTAAATATAGAAAAAAAAAAAAAAAAAGAGAAAACAAGTTTGCAAAGATTTTAGTTTGAATTACTATTTAAATACCTCTTTTACTTGCATCATATAAAATTAAAAATTTTGTTTCTTGCAATTAATTTTTTAGTGAGAAAATGCATTTATTGTAATTATGCTGATGAAAAGCACTGTATAAATGAATTTTATCTTTTAAAATTATTTTATCCATTGTTATTTTTGTATAGTTTTAAAGGAATATGAGACGAGAGTTGATTCCTTGTTCTTATTCTTTGTTTTTTAGTTTAATAATTCTCATTGGAAAAGAATAAATTTTTAATTTTTTAAAAATATGAATTTTTTATGTATTTGGTGTTTTTTAAAATGCATTGATGTTATAAAAGTAATTTAAGTACTTAATATTCTGTTTATAATATAAAAATCAGTGTGGCATATTAATTTTCCGAATTAGTTATTGTTCCCTAACCATTCAATGTCATTTAGAAATGTATAGGAAGTAAAATACACTTTCATAATTTGTCTTAGTACTTTATTTGAATTTCATAATTTTATGTTGTAAATAACATATTCTAGTTAAAAGTAGTTCCCATATCTAGTAAGAAATATTTTATTCTGAATCATTTTGTTCTAAATCATAAATTTTATTTGAATCACAAAATTGTTGCTTATTTGTTTTTCAAAGTATATTGCACTTTTTAGTTATATGCAAGCAAAAGAAGAGCAACTGTATTTTGTAAATGTGCATTATTTTACTTTTTTAAACACTTGGTGACTTTTTAAAAGAATATAATTGTAGTTTATCAAACCTTGTCTCTCATCTTTAATTAGATTATATATATGTATGTATATATCTATGTATACACATTCACATACATAAGTTACCAGAAATTGATTGGTATTTCTTTTAGATGTTCAGAACTATATATATATATATATACTCATTACACATAAGGCCAAAATATGCATTTAGTATACAAATAACATCTCTATTTTTTAAGAAGTTTTCATAGTTGGATAAGATGTACTGCGCTCTTGTTTTAGGCACAGTAGACTTTTTTAACTTTTGAAAACCATGATTTCAAATCACTCTGACAATTGGGTCAGAGTTCGATTTAATATCAAGTAAGCAATCAATCAGTCATACCAATTCATCTAACACTCAGCATGCAAACATCAGTACCTGGTTTTTCTATTCAACGAACAGCCTTATCTACGTTTGAGTGAATATTTACATTTTCTAATGTCATTTCTTTCCTATAATGCCAACACTCATGTTATTATGTATAGGATTTCTAAGTGCTGTTTTTTCTTTGAATATAGTTAGTGATTGGTATAAAATGTGTAACAAAAATGCCTTTATATATCTAATTTTCTGTCTGATTTCTTGTAAACATGCCTATTTATTTTCCTTGTCTTTGTAGACTTTGTCAAATACCACAAGTCATGTCATTTTTTGAGGAGCTGTTGTACCTATATTTTAATGATGCTCCTGTAATAAGATTTATCAGTGTACCATTTGCATGAGATGTTTATAAAAAGGCAAAGCTGTATGAACGTATAGCTGGGGGGGGGAGAGATATAAAATTTAAAGAAAACTTCTAATTACATGTAAAGCCAAAGTGGTTGAAAGAGAAGTTAGCTATTGTTAATTAATTATTATTTTTTCTGTAAGCATAATTTTTAAAATTTTAAGGATTAAAGAGGTTGTCAAAATCCATTGAAAGGAAGATAAGGATTTTGTAATAAATTATTTAATGGTTATATAGAATTTTAATTTGGCATGTTGTATCTCTGTTATAACCAAAGATAATTGAAAACTATGAGGATATTAATTTATGCTATTGCTGTAGTGAACATTTAAAAAATGTATTTCAGAAATAAGATAAAATTTGCTAAGAAAAGTACCTTCAAACTTTACTATGCAATTATTAATGTATGCATAATTTTACTAATACCTTTTAATATTCTAATCGCTAGTGCAATAACATTTTACATATAAGTGGTTTTTAATTTGTTGTTTAATAGGGATATTTTATTAATCATATTTCAATGTATTTCTGTCACAGAAAATTTAACATGTGTCAGTTTCCTGTAAATTTAAAATGTCGTAACAAAAAATAGCTTAAGCTATTTATGAAGTGCTCACTAGCATCATTTTACATGCAGCATTGTCTTTTTTGTGAATATCAAACAAGTGGTATTTTACTTGCAGTTAGTCAAATCTGCAAGCTGTCATTTCTCTTGTTGACGTGACTCATGGTGCCCATTAGTGTGATTTGCTAATCTTGTGGAGGTATAGTACAAAACATAGGTGTGTAGCTTATCAAAATAATCCAGAGTGTATTGTATTACTATACCTATATATTATGTCAGTAGTGTTGCTTTGTGATTGTTTTGTGGCTTAAATGTTGTGACTAAATAACCTATATAAATAAAAATATCTATAAATGTGAAGCTTGCATACCATCAATTTTAATGATGGATTGTGAAATTTAATCTATTATAAATTCCCACCTAACTTTTACAATAGTTGCTTGGATCACAGTGGTCTGCTTACAAAAATATGCCTTTGAATTTGTTTAAAATTTTATTTTCCCTTGTACATTATGCTAAAAAAGGAACTGTTTGTGTTTATAAGTATATATGTATTTTTAAAATTATGACTTTTATGTCTGCTGCAATAGAATTCATGGTGTTAGTATAATTCGTAAAATATTTAGCCTATAAATTAATTTGTAAACTGAACCTTTTAGCAAAATTTAAAGCCTGTACAGAGTCTTAGATTGAATTTAACCCAAGAATTATTAAATTTATTTTTGTGGAATAAGAAATAAATAATTCTGTTAGTGATTCAGAAAGTTAGAATA